CGAACATGGTTGGCGTGGCTGCATTCGCCCTTTCCTTTCTTCTGTGGTTGACGATGACTGCTCGCTCTGCCGACGGAAAGTGTGCTACATGATAGGCCGGGCAGGTCCCAAGTCCTGCCGTTCCCAGCTCATCAGCAGACAGCTTTGATTCGTGATGAAGGAATTGACCCGAGGGTAGCGCGATGTACCACCGATCGTGCTGTAGCTCCATTTGGAGTGAAGCCAGCTGGAGGAGACATCACAACTCGACCTCCTGAATTTCAGTCAAGCACGCAAGAGAGCATTTCGAAGGGCAAGGCGCAGGGCAGAACAGCATGGATACACGCGCTACAGGGGCAGGCTGATGCCGGCTGCTGCTCTTCAAACAGACCACAAACCTTCCTTTGTCGAGCGTGGCACTGCTTCGCGACCCCGCGCGGTAGGAAGGGCCCCCCCTCGAACATGGTTGGCGTGGCTGCATTCGCCCTTTCCTTTCTTCTGTGGTTGACGATGACTGCTCGCTCTGCCGACGGAAAGTGTGCTACATGATAGGCCGGGCAGGTCCCAAGTCCTGCCGTTCCCAGCTCATCAGCAGACAGCTTTGATTCGTGATGAAGGAATTGACCCGAGGGTAGCGCGATGTACCACCGATCGTGCTGTAGCTCCATTTGGAGTGAAGCCAGCTGGAGGAGACATCACAACTCGACCTCCTGAATTTCAGTCAAGCACGCAAGAGAGCATTTCGAAGGGCAAGGCGCAGGGCAGAACAGCATGGATACACGCGCTACAGGGGCAGGCTGATGCCGGCTGCTGCTCTTCAAACAGACCACAAACCTTCCTTTGTCGAGCGTGGCACTGCTTCGCGACCCCGCGCGGTGTTGAACAATAGTTTCGTCTCCAGACTCCCGCGTTTGCGCATCATGACGTACAACTGCAGTGGTATGACTTCGGAACTATATGATCTACTCTGCGACGGGCTGTGCAACCGAGCTGCTTTTGATATTCTCATCCTCCACGAGACGCATTGGGGTCTGGGAAAAAATGATAGTACTTGGCGAATACCTGGTTGGTCCTTTGTAGCTTCTGCAGATCGTTCGAACCGATACAGTGGCGTGGCGGTGGTGATTTCAAAAAGAGTGGCACCGGCGACTCACATCACCTTCTGCTCGTGGATCCCTGGACGCATTTTACATGTTAAGTGCGAAAGCAATTCGGTGACTTTGGACATTTTCGGGGTTTATCAATATGTCTGGACTGAGACGGATACAACGCACGTTGAAGCTCGAAGACATCATGTTCTCACCGAGCTCAGCCGGGCTATCGGGGCGGCTCCAGCAGTTCATCCAGTCGAATGACTTCAACCTGCTGAACAGTTGGAGCAGGGCCACTAAATCCAAAGCAGCCACTTTCGTGAACCATCAGGCTGCGACACAGATCGACTTCTTGGCAGTCCGGACACACATTGCCGATGCTGAAGCACGCCGAAGCGCACCGGTTGATCTGAATCTCGCGCCCTGGCGCCATGGGGCTAGGCATAAACCGATTAGTGGTTCGATTCCTTGGGTTGCCGGGTGGTTTCTCCGTAAACAGCGTCAAGTGCCGAAACAGCTTACGTAATCCAAGTTTGCTCTTCAGGAGTCTGAGTGCGTGCGACAACAAGGGCCAGAGCTGAGTGCATTCACTGCCCAGGTTGCCGAAGTCGTAAGCGCTACCACTGCTCAGGAGGGGTTTTCGGTTCTAAATGCGCGGCTTAACAAGGTCAGTAGAGCCCACTTCCCCTCCCGACACTCCCAGCGTACACGCCCTGGTGAAACCCCGGCTGTCATACAGGAAGTTAGGCTCATGTGGGCTGCCCACCGACAGCTAAAGACCCGACGCCAGAGCAACCGGGCGCGAGTGCTTTGGGACAGCTGGCGTGCATATGTTGCGTTCATGCGTCGCTGGCGCGTGTTAAGACGCACCAGTAGGCATGCCCGAAATGCCTGGATTGAAGGACACATCCAGCAAGCCCATCTGGCTTCACTGCGTCATGATATGGGTGAAGTATTCAGAATAGTGCGCACCCTTGCCCCCAAACAGCGTAAAGATCCTGTTCGCATCCGCTCACCCGAAGGACACCTTCTCAGCATCACCCAACAGTTTGAGTCCATTCATGGGTACTTCTCACAGGCCTTCAGCAGAACAACGGAGCTTGATTTCATTTTGCCAGCGGAGGATCTCGACGTCACCGAGGAAGAGATTCAAGCTGCTATTGTTAGCCTCAAGAGACGGAAAGCAGTTCCTCGAGGATCTCCGCTCTCAGAAGTCTGGCAGCGCTGCGTGCCGCAGTTTGCCAGTTTCTTTAGGCAGGTTCTCACGCACACGCGTGAGACAGGGAAGCCCATGCCAAGTGACATGACCGACTGCACCATGGCCCTCCTCCCGAAACCAGGCAAGGTCAAAAGACAGGCACAGGACCTACGGCCTTTAGGACTTCAAGACCCTGCTTCTAAAGTCCTTGCTAGCACCATTAAACAAAGAGTCACCACGATTGTGCTTCCTTGGCTCAGTGGTCAGCCCCAATTCGCCTATGTGCCTGGCAGAGCAGGGGATGAAGCCTTGAGTAGGGTTGTCACTCATTGTAGGGGTGTTAGGAATATAGGATTCGGGACGCCCAGGTTAGCGTGCATGCGTATCGCCGTGGAAAGCGCGCAGAGCATTGTTGTGGCGGTGCAATGTTAAGTGTGGACTTGAGTCGTGCATTTGACCAGCTTCCCTGCAGTGCTTTGTCGCAGTCGCTGCATCATGCGGGTATCGCAGGTGCGCTGCATGACACCATCATTGAACTCCACGAAAGTTGCACATACACGATTACCCATGGACCTCACACCGGGAGCTTCCAGTTACAAGCCGGGGTTCGTCAGGGTTGTGCCCTAAGTCCCCTCCTCTATGGAATTTTTACGGGGTGGTTTTGCGACCTTCTGGCGGAGCGCGTGCCTGCTGACTGGCTTGATAAAGGCCTGACCATATACGCTGATGACAATCTTCTTGCCTGGGACAAATTTAGGGTTCAGGATTTTGGGGAAATGTGCCGAATCATTCGTTGCACCTTCGCGCTTCTTAAGGAGCTGGGTATGAGTGTTAATGAATTGAAGTCGAGACTTGTCATCAAGCTGGTTGGGAGTGAAGCCAAAACGTGGATGCGGAAGCATGTCCTGACCACCAAAGATGGCCGCTTTCTTCAGGTAGGAACTCCGACTGCCCCAATTCTTATTCCTGTAGCCCCCATGCTTACTTATCTTGGAGTTGTTGTGTCCTTTGACAACTATGAGCAGCAAACCTGCCAGTTCAGATTGCAAGCGGCCAGACAGGTGCGTCAGAGACTGGTTCGTTTCTTGCATTCCTCCAGTCTACCGATCAGGCTACGCGTGCAGCTTTATATAGCTTGCGTCAGGTGCTCGATGCTGTACGGGATCCATGCTGTAGGGGTTACTGCTGCCACTATCCGTAAGCTTGAGGCGGCCGACGCACGCTATGTGCGAGCGATAGCCAAAAGCCCGGTTCACTTAACTCGGGAGGCCAACTCAAACCTGCGACATCGGCTTAAGGTTAACTCCATTCCTGAAGCCATAAGCAAGCTGCTGAAAGGTAGATCCCCGCGATCGTCCTACTCTGTAGCGGTACAGAACTTTCAGCACAACCTCCTGGTGCTGCAACAGTTGGAGTCCGATATCGGACTCTCATCTCAGCATGGGCTGATGCCTGTCGATCCCGAACAGCAAATTCCGTGTCACATCTGTGGGCAGTACTTTCCTGGCATGCGCCATCTCCGCTCCCATCAGCAGCGACAGCATCCCGAGGTGTTCCCCTCCTCAGATGAGCCTGTCACGCCGCGTGCTGTGGAGTATACTGCCCACACGGTAGACGGCATGCCGCAATGCCGACACTGCTCTGCATTCTTTACTAGGGTGGAAGCCCTTAAGAAACACATAGCATCCTGTCCCGTCCTGTACATGCAAAGACACCGTAGCTCTAATAATGCTAGCACAGTGAAGGTAGCTGTGTCAGGCCAGAAGCTGCTTGGGCACTCGTGCCGAGCTTCTGATGCGGAGCCCTTTTCACCACCAATTGCTCCAATGATCTTGCGACCGGCGTTTCGCAAATGCTCCAACTCAGGATGGAAACAAGTGCTACGTGAATCAGCATTTCGTGACAGTCTTAAACAGTATTGCGTGCAGTGCGGGCAGTGGTATTCGGTCACTGGACCTGGCATAAAGCAGCATGTGCGACTCATACATCCGCAAGCGTGGGCTCGCCACCACAAGGAAGCTTGCTCGCGTTGCACAGGCCTAGGCTTGTGCCTGGGCAGTCCGTGTCAGTACTGCTCCCAGGAGGTCAAGGACCCACGCACACACATCAAAAGACGCCCAGTAGTGTATCAAGCATCACTGGCCCATCTCATCATTTGCCAGGAGGACCTTGATCATGGCGGATCTGCTGGCAACGACAGCAGCGCAGGAGATGGAGGATGTCATGGGAGGGATCCCCATGATAGCACCGCAGTACCTGATGATGGCACAGGCGGCCAACAAGGACGTACGCCGGGACTCCATGGAAAACTGGGAGGAAGCTCAGAAGAGACACCCGAAGTGGCAGAAGCAGCAGCAGCAGAAAGGGGATCGCGGAAAAGGACAGTCCTGGAGCAGCTGGGGGGCCAAAGACCAGGATCGCGACGATTGGTTTCAGGACAGCCAGAGCTCAGGCATCGACCAAGCGACCCAACACCTGTTGTTGCGCATAGTGCGCATGGCCCTACGTCACGAAGAGGACTTGGCGAAGATCCGAATCGGCGCCACTCTGCTATGTTACATGGACACGGGCTCCACGGACATCCTCCCTCAGGTTCGCCAGACAGCCCTGTCGTGGCAGAAAAAGAGGGAGGAGAATGCGGTGACATCGCCACTGCGAGTGATACTTCTTATGAGTATCATCAAAGCAGCCAGCGACCGGATCTCGGCGCTCCTTCAGGACGAACCCCGCCTTGCCAAAGCGAAGGAGCACGGTTGGCTGAGCGACGGCCACCAGGCTCTGGACCCGCAATGGCATTTCTTCAGATGGAACCCCAACTCGAAGCAATCCGAGCAGAGTCCATCGCCACCGATTGCCAACAGTCAAGTCCTGAAGCACCTGGACACCTTGACCCAAAACCTCGGCTCTCAGGGCGCCCTCTCGAAGTTTCGGTCCACCAGGCCAATGTCCACGACCGACCGCTACGCCAGTGCAGTGCAGTCTTGCCGTTTTTCTGCGTGCTAAGCCTCCGCAGCGAAGCAGCGGGACGCTGCCATGCGGCCTTGCTGGCACTGGAGGGCTGCGCAGCTCTCAAGACGATCGGCATGAGGGTACGTCCGGAACGGGGTCAACGCCAGGCCTTGCTCGAGACTTGGAGCAGGCCTATACCTGGCAGTTCCATACACAGTATGGCAGGAACGCAGTCAGGCATGGGGCAATGCGCCGGCGCCGAAGGACTCAGCGCCGATGGCGGAGGAGACAGGGTGATCACTCCTGCGCTGGATGCAGAAACTTCGCTGCCTTAAGTATAGTGGCGCAAGATAGGAGGGTTCATCTGCCGAGCTGCCTTGGTTGGCACCCCATTCTTCGGCACTGGTCGCACCTCTCTAGCCAACATGATATTTGTGCTTTCTGGGAGCACTTGCAGGAATATGCAGATGCAGATGCTTTCAAGGGTGAATGGCAAGCTCGATTAGCGCTGCCACACACTGTCACTGAAGCAGGCCCATTGCGAGTGCCGATTCCTATCGAGGTGCGTGCTGCGCAGTTGGCAGAACTTGTTGAAGATTGGCATTCTCAATACGCCAAGCATCCATTGACACAGCATCGGGGAGTCGTCATGCTGCAGCTTAAGCGCTATCAGAATGTGTGCGGCGTAACTAGCAAGCTTCGACATGTGGTACCCATTGCGCCAGGTGAAACAATCTTGATGCCGGCCTTCTTGGGACCGCAGGGGTTGGAGGTTGCGCTGAAACCTTTCATAGGTCTGCTTCGTTGTCTACCACGTTGGTCCTAGAGTCCTAGAGTCGACACTGGCCATTATCAGGCTGCACTTTGTTATCCGCTTTCAGCCTCACCCTCCGCTGTTCCAGATGCGAATGCGTCTACCTGGGAATACTATGTGCGCAATGATCACTGCAAACCCCGCCGTGCTAAGACAGCTGATGTTAATCTGATCCATAGGAATGCCTATGTGGTTGGGCTGCTTCGGCTTGCTGATCTTTAACACTTTTGTGGGGCGAGGGTCGTGCTCCTGTCTTGGGCCGTCAGACTAGGGCCCTTGCATTTGTTCGACCACAGCCGTGCTGCATGCACTGACAAAAGAATGCATTCGCCTCTATTTGCGCCACCCTAGCACACAGTTTGAGTCTGAGCTCACTGCTGCAAGGTTTGCATTTCCCTTTGATGCGAGACTGATTTCATGTTACTGCGAGCAGGTACGATTCTTTTTGCGTTGTTAATGTACTGCCGTGCAACTTGCATGGCCCATGGCAGCTAGCATTCTCATTGGGGGTCTCCACGTTGTGGCCTCCTCCGTCACTGAGCCAGGCACTCAGCTCTGCCTGCTTGCGCATAGGGCTTGGAGCATAGATCTCCGGCTTCCGTGGCCTCCTGGACCTCCTTACTTTAAGGTGTCCGCCCCCGGACACCTTAATTTCTGAGTCTAGGGTTCAGGACTACCGAAGGCACCCCGCATCTTGGAGCTCACGTGGCAACTTCTCTGTTTGTCATGCCATCCCCCTAGCTCAATGCCACTGGGAAGCCTCCTGGTCCTGCCGTGCCCAAACACCCGGCCTGACTTGCAATGGCGGTGTGCTACTTCAGTGTTTGCGCTCCCTTTGGCACGCCCAATCGGGCAAGGCGCTACGTCCTGCACTCTCACTTGCGTCGAGGAATGAAATCGTTGAGGAAGCCCAGCTGCTTTTGAACGAGCCGGCGAAAAGGGATTATATGGACTATGCTGAGAAGCTCAGTCGAGCTCTTCCGTCAGCTCCGCTGTCCACATTTCCAAGACCGGTGGCGTGCAATGAGCGCGCCTCGCCGGCTGAGAGTCTGTCCCATGCGTTCCTCTGCGCTCGCACCGGCTCTATGTGGTCGGCAGTTCGCCAAGTCGCTGCACTGCTGCCATATGCATTGTCGAAGCGAGCTTTTGCAACAACGCAGCGCAGCTGCACCATTGGGGCGTATGGTCATAGGTCGTTTACGGGATTGTACCGTGGTACATCCCAACACCAATCGGTCTGCCAACTCTTCAATGCCTTCCTGATGCTCATCAACCCTCGACATGTCTGGACGACGGTAGCAGTGCACCTTGACTTCTCTGCACAGGTGCACACCGACAGACAAAATGGAAGCCTTCCAAGTATGATCGTTGCACTCTCCCACCATGAAGGTGGTGGCTTGTGGTTGCATCAACCTGATGGCAAAATCTTTCAGGACACCGGCTTGAACCGGGACATGTGTACAGTTTAAATTGATTTGCACTAATGTTCTCCGCGGCAGCCACTCCACATGCAGTGATGCCCTGGACGGATGGCAACAGAGTCACGCTGATTGCATTTTCCATTGGACAGCATGCGCGCATTTCCGTTGCTGATAGAGAGGTGCTGCTCGACCTAGGGTTCAACCTCCCCCCTCCCTAATGGTTTTGTTCCGGTTTTGCTCCTGTTCCCGGCTTAGTCGCTGTCTCTTTGGGGAATAAAGGAACAAGACAGCAACTTGTGCGAGCTAGCATGAGCTATCACGAAGGCCTGCAAAGCAAACGAGGCTTTTGCAGCCAAAAAGCCCGACCTGCATTGCATTGCCTTGCCTTGTCAGCGCCACCTGCTGACCGTAAGCATGTGCTGCTTCGGCACTCGCTCAGGTCACGTTGTGCATGGCTGGCTGACTGCATTGCGCCGACCTTTCTTGTCCGACGGCTACACTTTCCTGGAGGGACTGCTTGGGCCCCCGGGCCGAGTCTCTTGGAACTTTGCTTCAGGACGGTTTTGTTTCTTTGGTGCTTTGCTCTAACTGCTAACTATTGCTCCTCCAACCACAACATTGACGAGCACCACCATGCTTCTACGACAATGTGCGACTCTGGGTTGCGGCCGCCAATTCCCTGGGTCAAGGCATCAGCATTGCTGCTCTATGTGCCGGACAACATGGAATGGCAACTACAGTCTGCATAGCAGACGCTGTCAACGACTACAACGTTCTCTGGTCAGGAGTCAAGTGGTCGCGATGGCAGCCGAGCAACCTTGCAGGACAACGGGATGCACGCACATGGCTCACCAAGGCTTTGATACATGTTGCTCTCGCTGCGCGGTTGCAGGCGGCAGCCGCCACAACTACTACTGCTACTACTACTACTACTACTACTACTATTACTACTACTACTACTATTAGTACTACTACTACTACTACTACTACTACTACTACTACTACTATCACTACTACTACTACTACTACTACTACTACTACTACTACTACTACTACTACTACTACTACTACTACTACTACTAGTACTACTAGTAACTAGTACTACTAGTAACTAGTACTACTACTACTACTACTACTACTACTACTACTACTACTACTACTACTACCAGTACTACTAGTACTACTAGTACTACTAGTACTACTAGTACTACTAGTACTACTAGTACTACTAGTACTACTAGTACTACTAGTACTACTACTACTACTACTACTACTACCACTACCACTACTACTACTACTACTACTACTACTATCACTACTACTACTACTACTACTACTACTACTACTACTACTACTTCTACTACTACTACTGCTACTGCTACTTCTACTACTACTACTACTACTACTATTACCACTACTACTACTACTACTACTGCTACTACTACTACTACTACTACTACTACTACTACTTCCACTTTTACCTCTACTTCTACCACCAGACGACGACGGCTGATGTTGCTGGTCCGGCGACTATCTTCGATTATGATTCGCAATGTTTCCCATATAAAACGATGAAGACAACGCCAGCAGCAACAGCAGCGACGCCGATGTTGCCGCATGTCAGCATGTCACTTGTTTAGCACCGTGCCCGTGTCGATTTTCGAGGTCCCCACGAGCAGCTCCTGTGCCTTGGCGATTCCAGTGGAACGTCCGGTAGTTTTCGGTTCAGCGGATTTTGTCCGCAAGTAATATTATTGGTTTGCAGACGTGGCAGGAGCAGCAACAACTAGTAGGGCGTTGCAGACCTTTGGGTTCAGGCGTGCTGCAGCCATGCTATTGTCAGGGCTGTAACCCAAAGGACATCTGTGGGTAGATGAAGCTTTGGCGCATTAATTTCTCTACCTTCAGCACAAGCACCTCAGATGGAGCTGAGTGAATTCACTGCCATCCGAGGCCCGGAGCTTATGCTCCAGAGGCGAGCAGCGGTGCCGTGGTGCACCCCTGTCCACCCAACCTTTTTTGCCGGTCTTCCTCCTTGCTCGTGTTGACTCACCGCATCACATGGTTTCCAGAAAGATTGCGTGCTGCCGAATTTGTCAGGGGCCCGCAAGGGTCTCCAGGTAGTCGGTTTTGTAGCTTTTTCGGTCCAGAGAAGCAGCCTGACAGATGTTGATCAACCAGCGATGCTCGGAAGCTAGAATCGCGTATAATGCAAGTCAGCATGTCACCTCCCTCTTAAAATCTTTATCTTATGTCCTGCATTGGCATCCTTGTATGTAGAGGCCTTGAAGTTAAACCCTGAAGGGTCCGAACAGGCTCCTCAGCCAGAATGGCATTCTGACTAACCGAACGGGCAAAAAGAAAAGAGGGCTCAAACAAAAAACGACTTGAACCCCGCACTCGAAACCTTCTACAGTCAGAACCTCTGCCAACTTTGCATCTGCATGCACAGGCGCCGCTCCTCAGTGACGGCAGCAGCCCCCACCTCAGCTAAGGGCTCAAGTGCTGTGGTTGTGCGTTTTGTGAGGACGAGGAGGAAGAGGAGGAGGAGGGTTGTGTGTTGCGGCCGCAAAGTTGGGAACGAGGAACAACCGACGAGGCTCACGTGATTCCGCATTCCAAGGCCCGGGCCCCCCCACCCCCTGCCACAACGGTACACCGCCTCCCCCCTGCGATGCCAGCCCTGATACACTGCAAGCCATGATGCATCCAGCCTCATGCCTCACGCCCTCTTCCTTCCTTTTACACCCAGCCGGAGACTGAGCGTACCACGTGCCCTTCCCGCTCAAATTCCCTGAACTCTTTTTAGACCGCCTGTCACGGACATCGCAGTTGTAGATACAAGGACAGGAGGCCACAGTACTCAGACAGAGTCGTTGTTGGTTAGTCCAGAGACTTGCATGCGGCCGGCTTTGTGTGGCCTCCTACTGCAGCGGTCAAGCGTGCAATGAAGAAACTACTGTAACTTCCCGGGCAAAACCATCTATCTAAGTCGAGGGTTTCGGGAACTTCTGGGTATTAGATGTGGGCCTTTCGAGGTCGTCACACTGTATCCCAAGTTAGAGCCTCAATGATAGACGATGTCTGCTCTTGAGACCAAAATGCTAGAGACCTAGTGTGCTTCAGCATCAAAAGCCGCGAGCAACCTTTGATAGTTTGAGATGGTCAAGAAGTGCGAGGTACTAATTAGACAGAAAATGTCGCATCTTGGACTGTAGCATGGCATGTTTCAGGATCCATGCAGGTATTGTGCCAGCAAGTTGGTCCCTTGAGCCAGTCTACAAACAAAGACGATACCAAACTGCCATTTGCACCCTCCGGCAGCCTCGTAACCTTGAGCCCTTTCCCTTTGCCCTGAGCCCTTTGCCCAGATCCTCAGTTGCTGCGAGAAGACTCCACAAATAGGGCATAAACCGTCGAATCGCCCCAATTCCGAAACCCTCAACGGGCTTTCAAGGCCTCAGCGGAGCCTGGAGCAGCGCCCTTCCTGCAACAGCGAAGATCCAGGGGCTCACAGTATGGTTCGAATTCTAGGGTTCATTTGTTATCAAGAATCAAGGGTATGGATTTATAGTCAAGGCTGTTGGCTTTGACGTTCAGGGCACGACTGGCTTTCGGTGTTGATGCATAGTTGGATAATGTTGGACATTACTGCACGACACATCGACTTCATGGTGCACACTCGGTCATTCGCTAAATGGGGTTTGTGTACAGTAGCATGAACCCAGCGAAAGTTCGAAGCCTTCCAGATGTGCCAGGGTTTTCTTGTCTACTATAGGTTCTGAACTTGCAAGCCTGTAGCCCTCAAAAGTTGTGGGGCTTGCGCTGCGGCTTTAGGAACTGGATTCCAGTGTGCCTAGAAGGTCCCAGGTACCAGGTACGATCTTCGTGGTGGTCATGTGGAGGCCGGCTTTTCTTCAGGTCTTTTCTAAGCTTGCTAGCGCTTGTCTGCATAACCATCACAAAGATTTGCGTATGCATTGGCCGGTCAGTCCTTTCACCTGAGTGTACTTGTACTTTTCAATTGATTTTACCTTTGTGCGCACGAACGTCCCGGCGAAGCTCTCAAATCATGCAGCCTACTCGCTCTGTCTCTCTTCAGTGCCGTGCTCATGCTACTGGTGTGACCGTGTGGTTGGCAAAAGAAGGACTGGGCCTCGTGCTGCGCGAGCTGCCCTATCAAGCTGAAGCTATACTATCCACTGTCGCCTACACAAGCCTCAAGGTGTGTTCAGCGTACTAGCCGAATGCTGTTGGTCAGTTGTGCTTCAAGAGCCTCGTTGTTTAAGTGGCTTTCGGCTCGTCAGTGAAAGAGAAATCCACGACTGGCAGCTTACAAGATGTGTGAAGAGGACCGCAGTGTTCCCGTTCGGAAGCGGGTCTTCGATGCATGCAGCTCTCCAGGAAACCTTCGTTTGTCGTGCATACAGTGGCAAGTGCGAAATCTCATAAACTGTCGATGATATTAACTAAGACGATCGACTTCCTTAAATAGCTCAAACGGCACGCTCCATCATGCTTGTTTCTTTCCAGACCTCAGCTGCCCAGGTGCGTGTGGCTTTACGCCCCCGAGTTCCAGTGCCGAGCCCGGATCACTTTGAGCTCGGGGGCGTTTTTAAGGCTTTAGCGGTCTAGGGCCTAGGTTTTGTTGTGAAAGGTGGCTTGCCTGCGGAAACTGACAGAAAGGACGGCGAACGAAAAGTACAGTAACGCACCAAATGCGCCAAGTGATTATAATTATCCAGCTTGAATGTTCAGCGTGTCATTTTGTCCTCCAGAGGCGTCAGCCTCAACATTGGAGGTACCGCAAGCAGCTGGATTTGGAATGATCTGGATAAAAATGATGTTGCGCATGTACTCTGCGCTGCTTCGTGAATACAGTGCATAAACAAACAGTGAATAGAGGCATACATACATACGCATGCATACATGCCTGAATGTGGCGCTCTTGTGCCAGTGCAGGTGAGTCAATCCTGCTTACGTCAAAATCTGGTATGTAGACGTTCATGCTCAGGTATCCTAACATCGCCTCCGATGCGGCCGACGGT